CAGAGGCCGAGAGTGGCTAAGAACATCCCGTCGTGATTTGGCCAAGACGGGTGGACGTGGGGGCAGACGAGAGCGGCTTTGCACTGCTTTCCAGGGGCCAGGTGGGACAGTCGGAGGAGGCCCCCTTGAGAAGGCAGCCCTGGAACCCCTCAGGTAGCCGCCTGGGAGCCTTCAGGGAGCCTCCTGGGAGCTTCACGGGAAACCCCATGGGAGCTTTCAGGAAGCGTCCTGGGAGCCTCAAGGGAGCTTCCTGGGAGCCCTGCTGGAGCCCCCCGGGAGCCTTACACGTGAACCTCCTGTGGGCCTGAAGGAGCCGCACGGGAGCCTTACAGAAGCGTCCTGGGAGCCTCACAGGAGCGTGTGGCGGGGACCTTCCCCCCCACCCCTTCCCGCGCGGTGAGCTCGTGGACGGTCAGAGGCACCAAGGGCGATGCAGCTCCAGTCCTCCCGCACCTCCTGCTCGCTGCGAAAAAGTCACGACTGGAGGTGTTGGGCCGGTTTCGGCCTCCAGGGGCCCTCCCCAAGGCTGGGGACCATCCAAAAATTGCCCGGGACGAAACTCTGGTCCAGGGGAGACATGGCCCAGATCTCCGGGCGCCCACGCTGCGAAAACGAGCACGACGTCGGAGCTCTGGGTCGGGTCGAAGCCGATCGCCCTAGCCATCCGCACGCGCAGGAGCGCGGAGGCGGTCACGCTGGGCGCCGCGCGGCCCGGGCCACAGAGGCGCCCTTCGTCGGGCGAGGGCGGCGCGAGGGCGGAGAAGCCAGCCAGCTCGGCCGAGCCACCGGCCAGCCCGCCCGCCTGCCCCCCGCCGCGCCCCTCTCCGCTGGGCCGCGAGTGCCCCATCGGGGTCGTGGCGAGGAGGCGCAGGACGGCAGGGAGGAGGAGGAGGAGGAGGAGGAGGAGGAGGAGGCGGAACGATAAGGAGAAGGAGAAGGAGAAGGAGAAGGAGAAGGAGAATGAGAAGGAGGGAGAGGAGGAGGGAGAGGAGGAGGAGAGAGGAGGGAGGTGAAGAGGAGGAAGGGGAGGAGGAGGAGGAGGAGAGAGGAGGAGGAGGAGGAGGAGGGGGAGGGGGTGAGGAGGAGGCGGAGGAGGAGAGGAGAGGAGGAGGAGGAGGGAGGGAGGAGGAGCGAGGAGGGAGGAGGAGGAGGAGGAGGGAGAGGAAGGGGTGTTGGGAGAGGAGGGGTGGAGGAGGAGGAGGAGGAAGGAGGAGGAGGAAGAGGAGGTCCAGTGTAAACCCAAGACGCATCAGCGATTCTGCAATAGACGCGTTCTCCAAGTTCCCTCTGCACGAGTCCCTGCAGGGATTTATGTTCACTGCAGGAAGTGCGCCTTTGGAAGGCAACCGTTTTAAAATCACGAACCGTCCCAAAACACCATTCTTGGGATTTCAATGCCGCGACTCAACGTTATTGTTGCGTCCTGACGACTTGAACCGTGCCAGAACACCATTCCTGGGACTTCAACACCACGAATCAACGTGACTGCTGCCCCCCCTGACAATTTTAAATCGTGCTAAGACACTGTTTCTGGGACGTCAAGCATAAGAATCTTTGAAACTGCTACAAACTTGTACTACGAATGTGCGCCGCGCTATGGGGAGAGCCACGTTTTGAAAACAGCTCGCCCTCCATTCGTGAAATTCTTGCAATGTTTGAAGACGGATATGCGCGGCTCGACGGAGAGAGTCACATTTTGAACACGGCCAGCCCTCCATCCGAGAAATTGTTACAACTTCATGTTTCAGGGTCATGTAAATATATATATATATATATATATATATATATATATATATAGATATATATATTATATGTATATATGGTGAGAAGTCTCAGGCGAGATGCCCGGGCCCGCCCTACCAACAACACGTCTCGGGGTGCGAAAGTGATGAGTTATTCGAAAAGGGATGGAGGAGGAGGAGGAGGAGGAAGAGGAGGAGGAGGAGGAGGAGGAGGGAGGAGGAGGAGGGAGGAGGGAGGAGGAGGAGGAGGAGGAGGAGGAGGAGGAAGAGCAGGAGGAGGAAGGAGGAGGGACACGGGAAAGGATCCGAGAGGAGGAAGAGAAGACAGCACAAAACTACAAAGGGTAAGCTTGGCCAGATTGGTTGCTGCACCCTGTGAGGAGAGTAGCGGGGTATGAGAAGCAGCTGTTGCCTGTTGGATGTCTTTCCTTGTCCCCAGGGTTCAGCCTCCGCGCTCATTTTCCGAGCCTTCGACTCCGGAGTTGATCACGATCTCGGGCTCAGGCTTGAGCACAGCGTGCCGCGCACATGGCCCTGCCCCTGGTTGCCCCATGTGTGTTGGGCTCCCACGGTGGTTGCAAACGGTTCCGCCCGTACGTAGCATTTTGGCCTTGCGGTGCCCGTGTGCGTTGGGTTTCTCTGCGTCTACACACGCAGGGTCCCGCCAGCCGCGTCCCGCAGCCAGCTGCCCCCGTGCGTGCTGCGACTCGCGGTGGCCGCAAGCGTCCCCGCCCACGCAGTCAGGGCTCCACCTGTCCATGTGGCTTGAGCTGCTTGGATGTTGCACAGGGTCCCACCCACGGGGTCCCGCGTTCAGTTGCCCTGGTGCGTGTCGGTTTTCGCGGTGGTATCAGAGGGAACCGCCCTTCACGGCCCCCGTGCGTTGGTCTCCGCGGTGGTTGCACCACGTTCCCCCCATAGGCAAGCGCCTTCAATTGCCTTACGATGTCCCGCGCGTCGAGCCGAAACATTATAGGGGGGAAATCATTGATTGCGGTCTGCGGTTTGGCAGCACGCACATGCATCATGGTCGTGATCGTAATTGTAGGCGAGCTTCAGTGCACAAGCATGTTGCTACTTACCCGTGCGTCTCGCTTTGCAAGTATTTGTGAAAAAATTGACGGCGGCAGTGACCAGCCCGTAACCGAAATACGGGGGCCGCTGCGGGGGCCCTCACTGGAGTCCAACTCTCTGGCTTGCGCCGATCTGCCATCGTCAAGGCTCGAGTTTCGGGCTTGACCGGCCGTGCTCGCCCCGATACTGTCACTCCCCATTTTACGCTCATCCAGAGCAGGAGGCCATGGTGCGGAACGTGCTGCTGTGCGCGATCACCCTGGGGCTGCTCCAGCCGGCGCTCGGGCTCGGTGTTTGGCCGGCCCGGCCGTCCGCACCGTCCCCGGGCGCCCGCCAGTCCAGCATGAGCGACGAGGAGCTCATCGCCGGCGGCAGGGACGCGGACGAGGAGGACGACTTCGACACGTGGCTCCTCGAGCACGCGGGGAGCGAGGTGCTCCCCAGATCTCCAACGTCGGATCCCCAGATCTCCCCGGGAGAGCGCAGCGTGGGCCCCGGGAGATCTGCGGTCGGGAGCCTGGGCTCGGCGAGTCGCGCGGCTGGCTCCGGCCCACTGCGCTCCTGCGCGCCGCGCCAGCCAAGTCGCGCCCCCCCGGCGTCAAGGTGCTGAGCTTTCCCGAGCCTCCCGCCCCACTCGAAGAGCACAGCGCGCCCCCCCGGGCGTCAAAGTGCTGAGCTCTCCCGAGGCTCCCGCCCCGCGGAGCGGAGCGTCGCGCTGCCCACTCGAGGAGCACAGCGTGCCGCCGGGGCCGCCGCGGCGACACGCGGAGCAGACGTTCCCGACCGTGGACCCCCCGCCTCTGGGCCCGGGTTTTCCTCCCGGGCCGTGGTCTGCTTTTCCAGGGCCCCGCGAAGGCCCCAGGGGGGTCGTGTGTTGGCCCCTCTTGGAAGGTCGAGCTGGCTTCCTGGGCCGTCTGGAAGCAATCCTGGGCGCTTTTGCTTCTGCTCTCCTGGAGTGTCTTGGGCGCCACCACAGAACTTGCAGGGCCGCCTGGCCGAGGAAGAGGCCCCCGGGAGGCCCCCCCATGGAGGCCGCAAGGGCCAGAACCGCCCGCCGTGACCTCTCTGGCGCCACGGCGGCCAGAGGCGCACTCGACCTGCGCCTGGCACTCCAGTCGGGCGCGTCCCTCTGCATGAGGACATGCTCAAGAGTGGGCAGAAAAATGGTCTGGGGACGATTTCTCGATTCCTTGCTGGCTATTCGGGCGCATTGTTCGACTGTTGTTTTACTTCTCGCCCAGAGTCCGCCTGCAGGAGGACATGCCCGACCTGACGCTACGGCCGAGCGGCGGCGGCCGCCGCGGCCGCCTCGCGGCGGCGCCTTCCGCACGGAAGGCGCGGAAGGTCCGGGTCGAGGGTGCGGTGCAGTGGAGACCCGTGCCAAGAAACACCTTGCTTGCCTCCAGGGTGCCCAGGGTTTCTCAGGTTCCCATGGCTTTGCGGTGGGACGCATGGCGTTCCCACGCCAGACATCAAGGGACGCCCTGGGGCCTCAGGGTTGGGCTTCTGTGGAAGGTTTCCTGTGGACTGGCCTCCGCTGTAGGGGCAAACTGGTGAAAGCGCCCGAGAGCTTCGAAAGTCAAGAACCTCGAGCCTCGAAGGGCTCCCTGTCGCTAGTTGCTGCGCCTCCCCCTGGCGGTGCGAGGCCCAGATCTTCGAGGTCATGATCTTTTCACAGCGTCGACCCCCAGATGCTCGACCCATTCCCTGGGACCCGTTTTCCATCCCGGGTCGGTTTCTGACGGCGCCGAGGCCCGGCGAGGGCCCCCGGATGCCGAAAATAGCCAAAGGCTTCCCGCCGTGATTCCTTCATGGCCCGAGAAGGGATCTGGGCCGCGCGGTGCGAGGTGCTCTCCGAGGCGCCGCCCCGCACGGGGGGCCCGGCGGCCCACCCGGCCACGGCGCAGGAGAACTGGGCGGTCGCCCACGCGGCGGAGCTCTGCCGGCTCCCCGCCGCGGGCAAGCCACGCCTCGAGAACGGGGTCATCTCGGGTCGGGCGAAAGGGGGGGATTGGGAAAGGGGGGGTTACGAAATTTGCTGCATGCAGCTGGTTTCGGCCCCACCGAGGGGCCCATTCCTCGATACATAGCCGCTCCGGCGCCGGGAGGCGCCGGGAAAATCAGCTACGTGAGCTGATTCTCAAACCCCCCCTTTGCTATCCCCCCCCTTTTCGCCCGGCCCGATCATCGCGCTCCTGGTGACCCGACCCACCGATCTGCTCAGGCTGCGGGAGAGCCCGAAGAAGCAAGGCGTTGCACAAGCACAGCCTCTCGGAGCTCCGCTCGAGGCAGCGGTGGAGTCTCTCGGCGGCCTGCCGGCGCCACCGTCTCTCTCCGTCTGCGCGTCTCGTCCGGTGTCCGGGCCAGCAGTCGCGCGCGGCGGCGATGCAGTCTGGGATCGCGCGTTCCTCCTCCTCCTCCTCCTCCTCCTCCTCCATCCCCGCCTCTTCCTCCTCCCCCTCCTCCTCGCTCCTCCTCCTCCTCCTCCTCCCCCTCTCCTCCTCCTCCTCCTCCCTCCTCCTCCTCCTCCTCCTCCTCCTCCCTCCTGCCTCCTCCATCCTCCTCCTCTCCTCCTCCCCTCCTCCTCCTCCTCCTCCTCCTCCCCTCCTCCTCCTCCTCCTCCTCCTCCTCCTCCTCCTCCTCCTCCTCCTCCTCCTCCTCCTCCTCCTCCCCTCTCTCCTCCTCCTCCTCCCTCCTCCTCCCCCTCGCCCCGCCTCCTCCTCGGATTTCTTGAACTTGGCTTCGCACACGAGGAGCGACACGCGGGGGCTCGGGCCCGCGCGCCCTGCCACCTGCGGGTCGGTCTCCTTGGCCAGGCACGGCACGCCTCGCCTCGCCTCGCGCGGATGTTTTTTGAACGGGCGTTGAGCCCCCCCCCGGACAGCACCTCCAACGCCGCCCCTGGCGTTAAGTCGGGCCTGTCCCTCTACAGGATGAGTATTCAGAAATAGTCAAGAGAGAGTCTGGGGGCGGTGTTGTTAACATGTTTGATGTGCTTTCGATCGTTTTGTCTATTTCTTACTTGTCGTCCAAGTTCCCCCTGTAGGGGGACATGCCCGACCTTTCCCTGGCGCGCTCCGCGCGCCATGGAGTAGAGGGTCCATCTCCGATCCAATCCAAGGAATCCGCGCGGAGCTCCGAGAGGTTAGGTTTATGCAGCTTTGCCTTCTTCGAAGAGCGCGCCACGGCTGCGCTACTACTTCCTGCAGCACTGGTCGTACCCCGTGAGGATCTTCATCCCGAGCAAAGAGTTGCGCGAGTATGACCCTTCGAGCTATGTCGAGTCCCCCACCTACGAGACGGTGCACCGAGTCATGAGTGATGTTGGGGGCACGGGGTACGACTGGAAGATTGAGACATTCGACCTCCGTTATCCGAAAGTTATCAGCGACGACCACGCGTGGAAAGACAAGATGAACCCGTGCGCACGGGCCGTGGCGACTAGCTACAAGCATATGAACCAATTCTTCACCAAGGCGATGTACGAGCACCCGTCGTTACAACAGTACAAATATTATCTTCGCATAGATACGGACTTCAATTTCATGGAAACACTTGAGGAGGATCCGTTCTGCATGATGGCCAAGACCGGGCGGAAATTCATGTGGCAAACACGGAAAGAGATCCAGAACTCGCAGTGTTCCGACGGAATGTGGGAGTGGTTTTTGCAGTACCAAGAGACCCATCGCTTGATCCCGCAGGATCCCTTGTTTTGGAGGCCAAAGGGGGCAAGGGTGAACTATGTGGGCTATGCTGGCATGGGCGACCTGGACTTCTTCAGGTCAGAGCGAGTCCGCAGGCTGGCGGAGGCGCTGAACGAAGATGGGCGCATCTACCTGAACAGATGGTCAGATCAGACGTACTACGTTCTCCTCTTCGCCCTTTTCGAGAACCATACCACGGTCGGCGACGCTGGCTTCAAGTGGCCGGCGAGCAGCTGGTGCCACAAGTGCACGATTCCGCCAGCTCCGTTCGACCCCATGACTGGGAAGCTCCGGTAGGCCCTGTGGTCTGCAGTTGTGCCGCAGTCTGGAGTCGGACTCGGCGAATCCCGTTAGGCGGCCGCGCATTGAATTGTCGGCCCGATGATTGTTCGGGCCCCCAGTTCGGCATCAAAAAAAATAGTTCAGGGAACCTCGGGAGTCCTAGGCAGCCACCGCAGGTTCCGAGCAAGGCCACCCAGAGCCCCTGCGGAGCAGCCGGAGCTTGAGTAGAGCAGCCGCTGCGTCCCCAAAGACCGTCGTTGCGTCTTGCTCCGCTGTCCCCCAGGTCGCCTCCTGCCCCCGCATCCGAGGCACTCTTGCCGCCCGTTCCGCCAGAAGTCTTCACGCGGAGGGTACACATTGTTCATTTCTAAGTATTCGAAAGTTCTTTGATTTGCTGGGGGGCCGAAATGCTTTCATTTCTAATTGTTCTATCCTGGGTCTATTCCTGGCCACTAGGGGGCTGGGAACAATTAGAAACGAGCACAAGTAGAAATGAGCACGATTAGAAACTAACGACGTGTAGGGGGGGAGAGATGGAAAGAGAGAGAGAGAGAGGGTGCGAAGAGGTAAGAGATAGGCAGGTAGACAGAGAGACGGACGAACAGACGGAGAGACAGAGGAAAGGAGATGGAAGAGAGGAGTGGGGGGGCAGATGCAACAGGGACAAGGCAATATCCATTACGATTTCAAAACCTCTG